CCCCAAAACCCCAAAACCCCAAAACCCCAAAACCCCATTTTATCTTAGAAATATTTAAACTATTTTAAATAATACCAATGAATGATCAAGCTGTCGGCGAAAATTTAAATGAGGAGGTCCAGATTGAAGCCCCTGCTGTCAATATGGTAGACGGAATCCCTCAGCCACCTCCTTTACCGATGGATAAGAACATGATCGGAGCAATCAAGGTTAAGGATGCTCTGTTCATTGGAGATGAGCTTGCAGCTCAAGACCTTGAATTTGTTGTTAATAATAAAGTAACTCATATAATAAACTGCTCTGGAAGACAAATTGCAAACCACTGGGAGCCAATCGGAGTTGCCTATCTTACCTTCTATTGGCTTGATGTTGACAATCAGGTCCTCTTCGATAAGGAGGATAAGATCACTAACGAAATCTTTAACTTTATAGAAGAAGCTCATGCTAATGGAGAAAGTGTTCTCGTACATTCAAATCGTGGTCAGAGTCGCGCATCTGCTGTCCTTGCTGTCTTTTTTATGCAGAAATATAAATGGACATTGTTTAAAACTTTGGAATTTCTAAATTCAAGGAGGCCAGATCTAGAAATCAGAGCTGCCTTTATAAACCAGCTGTCTGATTTTGAACGAAGACTTACTTCACAAGGAAGAGGGCCTGAAAGCGGGGACTGGAACGAGATTTCAAATAAAATAGAGACTAATAAAGATAACTATGTTGAAAATGAAGAGCTACTGCTCAGAAACACTTTTCTCAATGCCCAAATGGGTCCAATTGCTTTGTACAATAATGATGATAAGAATGATAAAATCAAGAAGAATAGGCTCCGATGGATCGATAATGGACTTAATGGAAATCTGAGAACAAATATTTCTGAAGATGACCTAATTTACAAAGATCAACCTGAGCCTGTCATTAATCACAAAATCGCTACAGTTGACTTGAAATCAATTATAAAAGCTCAATTTGGGGATCAAAACCAGAAGAACTTAAAGATAGAATTCTATAAATCAGATGAACAAATAGATGAAGAGATTAAGGTCTTAGAAACTGATCTCCAGCCTCTCAAGACAGAAGATTATTCACATAAGATAAAAGATGGTCTTGAAAGTATCAAAAATTCTGATCCAATTGTAGGAAATTCTGCGATGGGAAGTACACTGCCTTTGCCAAAGAAGAACAATCTTTTTGATAAAAAAATCAGTGAGGAGTCCATCAATAAGGGCATGCATAACAAAAACAAGAAGAAACTTAAGCTGGTCAATAAACAATCTATCAAAAAGGGAGCCCCTAAAACTCAGAACTATATTCTTGAGAATAAGAGAAAGGTTAGAAAAGACTCCTCAAAGCGGAAGCGCAGCGCCAAGGTTAGAGAGCCCCTCTTCAGAACTGAGAAAGGGTTCATGCCTCACACTAAAGGTGTACACAGAAAGTCATATTCAGAGGGTGTTAGAGACTCAAGAAAGGAAGCCAAGAAAGATGTTGTGATTAATTGTAAGAATCTGACCAATGTTAAAATTCAGAACTCTAATTGGTCAACCCAAAACACTCATCAGTATAACATCTTGGCTATTATTAAGGATAACCATGGGAAGAATCCTCAAAATTCTAAATAAACCTAAGCAGAAGATGTGAGATAAAGGACTGAAGAAATACTCGCAAGGATATACTCTCAACAAACTTACTAAGGAAGGGATCTTAAATCGTAAGTATTTCATTCGAAATGTACTAAATTAACCTCTGTTTAGCAGCCAAAACCGATCATTATGTAAAGGTCATCAAAGGTAAGAACAAGTCTAAAAGGCTGAATACATCGAAATAAGAGGAAGGTTACCTCCTATGAGCAAAGATATTCAGTAAACTTGAAGAATAGTAAGCCGGGACTTCTCTCCAATTCAAAGGGATTGTATAATGGCAATTATGGAGAAAGAAACACTAATCTTGCTCATAAACATGCTCTATCTGTAAGCATCGGAGGAGGTACCTTCAACAGAAGTAAAAAGGAGAAAGATGACCTTCTTAGTAAAAGTGTGGGACTTGATGGGCTAGGATCCTCACATAAATTTGGATCCCTTAAATCTACCTCTAAATCTGAGAAGTTGGGAGCGATAAAGAAATCAGGACCTATAAAAGCAACCATTGCAACAGATAAGTCCAGAATGTCTAAATATGAGCATCTCAGTAGTAAATTTACTGAGAATCCTCCTGAAAAGAGTACTAAAAAGCATAAGAGAAGAGATAAACGCCCTCATAGTTCAACTTTTATAGGAAATTATAAGCATGAAAAAGAGTTATATAGCAAGATAATGGGTACTCACAATAAATCCAAAACCAAAGCAATAAAAACTACGAGCACTGGGTTGAAAAAGAAGAATACTAAAAGAGTCAGGTCAGCATCCCCTGGAGGTTTGAGCAACTTCATTTCACATAAACCAGGGAAGTATAAGGAACCTCAAAGAGTGATTGGGAGTGGGCTCTACACAATTTCAGGAAAAGTTTCCTCCAAATATAGCTAAACACATCCAAATTATCTAAATTTCAGTAGCTTAAAAGTTTATAGGGGTTTTGGGGTTTTGGGGTTTTGGGGTTTTGGGG